GGGTGCTCCCCAGGGGTAGAAGAAAAAGAATGTTAAGTTTTCCTGAATAAACTGCTAGAAGAAGAGCGTTGGTGTTGCGTCGTCATTGCTGGTCAAAGGCGAACGCGACACCCCACCCCCTTCCCAGCTGCCAGGATGTGAGCAGCTCTCCTCCACCATGTCCTTTCACCATGATGTTTCTACCTTGGAGTCAGCCTACCATTGACTGAAACTTCTGAAACTGTGAGTCAAAATAAACGCTTTCCTCATTTTATTTTTCTCAGGTATTTGGACACAGGGATGCAAATCAGACTAACAAAAAGTATAAAACTAAAACAAAATTAAACTATTTGGTAGGTTGAAAAAGCCCCCCCCCACAATGGCCACATCCTAATTCCTTCAACATGTGACTTTATTTTTATATGATAAAATGGACTTTTTGTAGATGTCATTAAATCGAGGACACTGAGATGGTGAGATTGCACTGGATTTTCTGGGGAGCCCTAAATGTCTTCACAATGTCTTTATAGTACAAAGACAGAAACATATTTGACACAAAGACAGAAGAGGATGTGGTAATGAAACAGAGAAAGATCTGAAGATACTTTTCTGATAGCTTTAAAGACAGAAGGGTCATGAGCCAAATAATGTGAGGAATGAAACTATAATCTGGAATATAGAGGAAACAAGTTCTTTTCTAGAGTCTCTCAAGGGAACTCAGTCCAGAAAACCCTTGTTCTTGACCAGGTAAAACAGGTTTTGAACTTCTGAGCTCTAGAACTGTAAGAGCGTAAAAAATACTCACATATAAGCCACTAAGTTTGCAGGAGTTTGTTATAGCAGCCATTGACAACAAATATAAACTGTAAGTACAATCCCTTGGCAGTATCTAAAACATTAATAATCAAGAATAGTTATTGGAGCTTACTATACATCAGACTGTGTAATGTCCCTTATGTACTTTGAGTCTTTGGAGTCTTATATAATTTCTATAAGGGAAATATATTAAGAACTCTAATTTATAGGTATGCAAACTACGTCACAAAATTATCCCAGTACAGAATTGGAATTTGAAGCTAAGTACCCCATGAGTCAGATTTTCATCCTGTTACACAGATTCTTTAATATCTATTTTGTGGTTCTTTTCTATTTTAATATGATAGAAGGTGAGGGGTTATGGTGGGTTACCTCAAAACAACACTACCACAAGGGTTCGCTTTGTCTAGATCCATAATATCATTCATTTCAAAGGATTATTTCAAATAGTTGCTTCTTAATACATGAAAAAACCGAGTCATAAAAAATTAGGGCTACCGACGGCAAAACTGGAAACAGCCTGGTGGCTTCCCTCTGTTGGGCCTCATGGAGTTGTGACCTTCATTGTCTTTTTCTAGGATATTGCTTAAACTTGTTTGGAGTGCTGGTTTGGTGTTCATGAAATTTCTCTGGTGTTCTTTGTCATGGAAGTATCTAATTTCCCCATCGATTTTGAAAGATAACTATGCAGGATACAACAGTCTAGGTTGGAAGTTATTTTCTTTTAGAGCTTGAAATACTTCACTCCAGGCTCTCCTTGATTTGAGGGTTTGTGTTGAGAAGTCTGCTGTGATTCTGATGGGCTTTCCTTTGTAGGTGATTTCTTTCTTTTCTCTAACTGCCTGTAGAATTTTGTTCTTCTGTTGGGTTTCTGGGATCTTGACTATTATATGTCTAGGTGTAGATTTTTTTTTTTATCATGGTTAGTTGGAGTTCTATATGCCTCACTTATCTATACATTCAATTCTCCACCTCTGTCTGGGAAGTTTTCTACTATTACTTCTGTGAACAGTTTTTTATGTCAATTGTACTTTCTCATGTCTTTTTATGGACTCCTATCAGTCTAATGTTATTCTTCTTTGCATCATCTAGCAACTGTTGGATTGATTTCTCATGGCCCCTTACTATCTTTGAGAAATCTCTGTTTTCATGGTACTTAACCGCAATCCTGTCTTCTATATCTGATATTCTGTCTTCAGATTCTCTTAATCTGCTCTGCATGCTTTCAATGGAGTTTTTAATCTCTTGAATATCTGTTTGAATTTGTTTCATGGATTCCATTTCTTTCCTATGTTGGGCAATCATGGTTTCCATTTCTTGCTTATGCTGGGCATTCATGGCTTCCAGCATGTTTCTGATCTCATCTATTTTCTTATTTGTTTCTGCTCTAGAGCCTCTAATCATGTCTTTCACTCTGCTCACCATCTCTGTATTTATCTGGGAGTTTATTTCTGCTTTGAATTTTTCTAGAGCCTCATGCATCTGTTTTGTTACTTCCTGTGCTATCAGTTCAGGGTGTCCAGGTGGTTGATTACCAGACTTTTCCACCTCATTTCCCCCAGAATTTGCCTTTTGTGGAGTGGAAGCTTGAGTTTGTGCCTTGCTTAAATGTCTTCTCATTTTTGTTTTTAGTATTGTCCTTGGTTTAATTCCTGGATTGATATTTTGAAATTGCTTAATGTAGATATCTTTGTTGCTTGTGTTTAAAACCCTTGTGGAATGATTGCTTTTCAGAGGTGTCTTCCAGATATAGCTGATGTTCAGGTTTTACGACTCTAATGACTCTGAAGCTATTTCATTTTCACTATACCGGGAAGGAAAACTGATTAGATCAATCACAACATCTTAGCCCAAATGATACAATCAGCAACACCATAGCATCAAGAGCAGCTTAGAAAATGACAATTTATGGTAGTTATTAATCTATCACATTTAACTGTGTGAATTAAATCAAAGCCAAGGACCAACCCAACATATTTTTATAGTGAATAAACTCTTCAATATAACAACTTTACCCTTTGGGATGGGGAGTTAGAAGGAGTTGGGGAGGGAGGGACAGGTAGAAAGATCAGGAAAGATTAGCGATGAGGCTAGAAGACACAGGATGATCACACAAACTCTAAGAAATTGTTAAAGGCAAGAGGAAAAGGCAGAATGAAAGAACAAAGATGTGAATAGAACCACCTAACAGCAACAGAGAGGCTAGATACTGTATTTACTTTCCTTTAAAACTAATGATAATCCAGAGAAGGAAAAAGAGAAGAAAAGAAAAATAAAGGAGAAATCCAAATTCAATCCAGGAAGGAACAGAGAGAGAGAGAGAGGAGAGAAAAGAAAGGGGAAAAAAGAGAAAACTAAAAATTTGAACAGAGTAGAAAAAAGTAAAAATTAAGAATTAAAGATAAGAGAAAAATTTTTTTTTCTTTTTTGCAAATAACAAAAAATAAAAATGAAGGGCCTCCTTCAGTGTATGACTCTGCTGTCACAGTAGGCAACATAGGCAGCCATGTGCATATACAAGTCAATGAGTCTCAGCAAGCCTGTTGCAGACCTGTGAGATTCAGGCAGATTCCTGGCTGCTAGTCCCAAGTTGAGCTCCCTGTCCTCCTGCAGGGTTGAACTCTGCAAAGTTCTACTGCGGGTTCCAGTTGCCCTTCCCCTGAAGATAGTGCAAGTTCCGATGGGAGGTGATGATCTGTCCAACTTACCAAGTACGGTGGTCTGGTGTGCCTTTATTGTAGAGATTCTCCTTACTTTTCCGCTGAGCTTCAGTTTTCATCAAGGAGCCTGAGAGGCCCTCTTCCTGTTGCTATCTTCTGCTCTATCTTGTGGCGCTCAGGACAAGGGCCTTTATAATTCCCTGTGCCTTGTGCCCCAGGAAGAGCCTGGAATGGAGCAGTGGTTGGGTTGGGGGGGGGGCCTTCATGCTTCCTGGCTCCTCAGCTTGCACTGGTTGGTCACACTGAGTGGCTGAAATGATAACGCTTTGGATGCATTAGAGTAAATAAAATATATTTTAAAATAATTTCACCTATTTCTTTTAACTTTTATAAACATGGCTACTACAGAATGTGATATTAAATGTCTGGCTACAGATTTCTATTTGATAGTGCTCCACTAGATTTTTATCCCAAACAGTACAGAAAAGAGTCCTTTTCCAGGCTACATGAAACAATCTCAGCTTGAACATTTTCAGAGTCAAGAAGGAACTCGAAAAGCTGGCAATTCCATTTTTGAATGGCTCTTACAGTCACTTTCTACTAAATGAACATCATAGATAAGGGGAGAAGATAGATTATAAATATATATTCTCAAGAGAAGGATTTCAGATTAATTAATTCTAGCCTTGGTCTTACCAGTGTAAAACTGAGAAATGATTCCTCAGATTACTACGAAATTCAAAACCATCCCTCAAAACATAATACCATAAAATAACTGAAAGAAAACATTGGATTTTTAAAATGGAACACAAACTTAGAACCTACACTTAAAAACACATTAAATTATTTAAACATTAAAAATTACTCTATAAAGGAAAAAGCACTCTAAAACCAAAAGACAAATAAGCAACTGAGGGGCAAGATGGCTCTCATGTGACAGACACAGATCCTGATTTCATAACAGAAAACCAAATCCTACAATTCATTTTTAAGCAACTTAGCAACCCAACTGAAAAGTGAACAAAAGATGACAGTTCACACAAGAAAAAGCACAGTGGCTGTTAAACATGTAATAAGATGATCACCCTTGCTCATAATAAGAGAAATGCAAATTGAACAACTACAGTGAAATACCATTTTCTGTCCATTAGTTTGGTAAGCATATGAAAGCTTCCAGATGCTTGGTATCATTGAAGTGTAGGAAGTATAACATGGAACAATATCTTATGAGGGCAATTTGGCAATAAGTAGCAATATCCCATAAATATACTCACAGAAGTTCACAAAACAGTGGATATAAGACTATTCACTGGACAAAAATTGTTACACCAAAGAATTAAATCCAAAATAAATACCACCAATAGGAAACTGGCCAAGTTATGGCACATTCATATAGCACTGTGCAATAATTTATAAGAATAAAACAAGCAAAAGATCCAGAATAGCCAACACAATATTGAAGTAGGATCTAGTCACAGTACTTATACTCCCTGACTTCAAATCTTACTACAGTAAACTACAGTAATCAACATACTGTGGTTTTGCAAAAAAATTAGAAAATAAATCAGCCCAACAGAAGAGAGAAACCAGAAATAGACTCATATAAATATAATCAATTCATCTTTGACAAAGGAGCAAAGACAATAAAGTGAAGAAAATATCATTGTTTCAACAAATGGTGCTGGAACAACTGGACTTCTGCCTTCAAAAAGAGAAAATGAATCTAGACAAAAACTTTACTTAAATCCTTCATAAAAAATAACTCAAAATATATTATAATGTGAAATGTAAAACAAAAGTCTATAATACTCCTAGGAGAACACATTGGAGAGAACCTAGATGACTTTGAGTATGATGATGAGTTTTAGGTACAGCACCATGGCCGCAGTCTGTGAAAGAGACATTTAGTAAGCTGGACTTCATTCACATTAAAAACTTCTGGTCAAAGAAAAACACTGTCAAGAGTATGAGAAAACAAACCAAAGACTTGGAGAACATATTTGCAAAAAATACATCTGATGGGCTGGGGATTTGGCTCAGTGGTTTCACTGCCTGCTGCACAAGCAGAAGGATCTGAGTTCGATCCCCGGCACCAAAAAAAAAAAAAAAAGATATAGTAGGGCCGGGGATTTAGCTCAGTGGTTTCACTGCCTGCTGTGCAAGTGCAAGGACCCGAGTTCAATCCCTGGTACCAAAAAAAAAAAAAATACATCTGATAAAGGACTGTTAACCAAAATACATAAAGAATTCTTAAATTTCAATAGTAAGAAAATAATGTGATTTTAAAATGACCAAAAAACCTTAACAGACACTTCAACAAAGAAGATATGCAGATAACAAATATGTGTGTGAAAAGATGCTCCACATCATATGTCATTGAAGAATTATAAATTGCAACAATGATGGAATATGACTCTATGCCTATTAGAATGACCAAATTCCAAAGCATGACAATACCAAATGCTGACAAGGCTATGAAACAAGAACTCTCCTTCACTGCTGGTGGAAATGCAAACTATTACATGCACTTTGCAAGACACTTTGGCAGTTTCTTACAAAATTAAACATACTCTTTCCATAAAATCCAGCAAATTTTACTTCTTGTTATTTACCAAATGAGTTAAAACATATATCCACACAAAAATCTGCACATGGGTATTTATCCTATGTTAACTCATACTTTTTCAAAACTGAAAGCAACCAAGGGGTCCACGTGGTAGTAAATGGTTTTAAAAAATCCTGTAGCATATCCAGATAATGAAATATTATTCTGCAATAAAAAATGTGAGCCATAAGGTCATGAGAGCACATGGGGGAAACAGATGCATATCAGTAAGTGAAAGAAACCAACCTGAAAATGGTACACACCATATGTTCCAGCTATAGAACATTCTGGAAAAAGCAGACTTATGGAGACTGTAAAATAAGCAATGATTTCCAGGACTTTGAGGGAGGGAGTGATAAGTAGATGGGACACAGAGAACGCTTTGGGCAGCGAAAGTACTCTGTATGATACCATACTGGTGGATACATGTCACCATAAATTTGTCAAAATCCATGTAATGTGTAACACCGAGCATGAACTCTAATATAAACTGATAACAAGCTATCATAGTAGGTTCACTAACGACAAAAATAGTACCACCCTGTTTCAGCAGAATGCTAATGGTGGTGGGGTAGCTACTCTAAAAAATAAAGTATATTTGAAACTTATAATTAAAAAAAATAAGATAGTTTGTCATAGTTAATTTTATGGGTAAATTTGACTGTCCATGAGGTACATAGACATTTGGTCAAACATTATTCTGGGTATATCTGTGAGGGTGATGCCAGATAGGATTACTATTTGAATGTAGTTGGGCCTCTTCCAAACAGTTGAAGGCCTGAGAGAAACAAAAAGTCTGACCTTCCTACAAGCAAAAGAGAACACCTCCCACCTGAATGCTTGAGCTGAGACATTGATCTTTTCTAGCCCTCACCCTCCAACTGAAACACCACCTTTCTTGGGGCTCATGCCTACCAGTTTTCAGACCCTTGGCTTTCCTGGATCTCTGATTCGTCAACTACAGATCTTGGGACCTCTAATCCTCAATAATTGCATAAACCAGTTCCTTAAAATAACACACACACACACACACACACATACACACACACACACACACACACACAATACTCGTTCTGTTTCTCTGGAGAACCTGGATGTTCAGGTCTCTAAGAATTTTCATATTTCATTAAATGAAAAAAAATTAAAGTAAATTGTGCTCACACATGGAGAGAGAGACAGACACAGACAGTGAGAGACAGACAGATAGACAAACAGACAAACTAGGTATTTGTCCATATAGTACAACAGGCACTTTTCATATGATATTTTTTAGGAGTTTTTAGGGTTTTTTCTATGAACATGTGTTTCCTATTCAAATAAATATGTTTAGAGTAAGAATAAAAATGCCTTGACTAAAAATTACTATCAAAAGCTTAAAAACAAATACTTTGAGGTAGACTGTTCAGCTTGTGAGCTTGAACAGGGAGTAGCCAGCCATACTGTGGTAGCCTACAGTGATATTTTGTTCCTTCCACAGTGGTTTTTAAGGCTCACCCTGGGCCTGGGTCTGGAAGGATGTCAGCAATGACTGACCCTGAGAACTGAAGGAAAAACACCACCCTGCACCTCTTCCCAGATCACCATCTACCAGGCTGACCCTGCCCTCTCTTCAGGAAGGCAGATGCAGAACTCTTCACCCTCCTCTGGCAAATAGGACATGAGTCCGCAAGGGAGCAGCCCAACTGTCAGGGTTCTCACCTCCCCTACCCAGGTTCTCTGACAGCTGATCAGAGCAATCAACTAAGAATCGCATAAGACCAGTGCCCAGATAGAATGCAAACTACTGAGGGTGAGGATTCAGGCAAGGAAAATTGCTTTGCCCACTAGCACTTGGCACTCTTGTATCAAAAACCCTGCCTCACTCATACAAACTTTTCCAAAATGAACTGATCTTCAGAATAAGCTAGCCCAGACCATAGCACAGTTTCTCAAACCATACCTTTATATGTCAGCTTACAGCCTGGTGAAATCTGCTTCTCCTTTGTCCATTCCATGGGCAGCAAGTGACTGTTGTGACATCTATGTCCTCTTCTATGAATGCCCACTCTAAATAGTTTGGAGTGACTTGCAACTATGGCATGGACATTTCTCATCTGCCATTGTGATCAGCAGAGATTTGGGACCTGTAACACCAAGGTAGAGGAGGAAATATTGTACATGCAGAGCAATCACCAGGTCCTCTAATAGTTCAAGAGAAAAATTCCCCATGTCTCTTGGCACAAGGAGCGCAAAACCATGTTTTCCATGGCTTCACCACAGGGAACCTAGTTTAGGAGTCTTTAGCCACCTATTTGCTCCTAGATATGTAGATTAAAATGGCTCTGTTTGTTTTTTCATTTGCAAATAGAGAATAATAACTCCTTTCCCTGAGGTAATAATAAGGACTAAGTGAGATAATATGTAGAAAAGCACCTAGCACCTACTCTGCTCATTGCACCATCTTGGCTAGTGAATTTAACTTACTTTCCCCGAACAAATGCAGATGCTTGCTGCAGCATTGTGCATACATAAAATTAGTAACACCTCAAGTTGGTAGCCTCCTTACAAGCTTTTCATGGTCTCTTTATTTCAGGTAAACTGTAACCCATATACCTTCTTTTAATACTCCCTGGAAACTAACAAAAAAAGAGATCACTACGTACCACGTGTGGGCCCTTAGTAGAAAAATGAAGAGGGGGTCTAAACCTTGTACAATTTTTAGTATCAATTTTTGTATCAATTTTTAGTAACCCTTGTACAATTTTAGTGTATCAAATTTTAGTATCAATTTTTAGGGACCAGTGAGCTATACCATAAGAGGAGTTTAGATTCTAACGTTTTTAAAGTATTTTTTATATTGTCCTTTCTTTCTAAACCAAGCTACATCCCCAATCCTGAGTTTCCAAAAAATGTTGCCACAGAGAAGACCCTCAATAACAACAACCAGTGCCCAAGTAGTGGTCTAGCTTTCATATGTTTGAACTCTAATTTTAATTGTCTCAGTAACCCTAAGATAGGTACTATTCTTTTCCCCATTTTGCAGTGAGGTTAATCTGCCCATATACCAGGCTCATATGGTGGACCCAGAATCAACCAAAGCTGTGTGCTTAATCAGCAAGTTAAACAGTCCTCTGCAGACCTGCTCACTGGTGGCCCACAGACAGAAAGAGGAAGAAGCCAGTGTTTGAAGTCAGGAAGAAAATGTTCTTCTTTATCCCCCTTCTCAATGCTGCCTTTTAATGCCAGACTCTCTTAATTCTACCTCTGCCCAGTTCTCTAATCTATGCACTCTTCTCCCTTTGAATGCTTGATCTTTTAACTTTGATGAGGACTTTAATTTTAGATGTTTGACTTATGTCTCTTTTTCCCAGTTTTTCTCTCCATTTCTGACTCCTGACCCTTGCCTTTTCTAATCCACTGTTTTCCACTCCCCGACCAAGCTCTTATCTCCTGATTCTGTTCTAATTTAATTGGTCTGCTCACTCCACCAGTTATACCCATGGATTTCTACATTTCTATGCTATTTCTCAGGTCCCACTGCTTTCAGATACACTGGATTCACTCCTGCATAAAGCCTTTCTTTCCTGATCATTTCAGCAAGAACTAGGATAACCTCTCTGGATTTTTATCATCTGCATCTCTAATGGCACACCTGAAAATATTCATCAAGGGTCTTCTCTACTGTGGAATGTTCATCTCATCTAACACAATGCTACATACACAACAGAAGCCTGACAAACTGGGTTAAATATTAGCCACACTGATATCATGTCTCATCAAGCACAGCAGCTATATCCACTGCCTTCCTTCAGTTTATTAAAGGTCTACTGTAAAGTTCATGTTTATAAAACTTATATCTGCCCATGATCATTATTATTGCCAGAAAAAGCTATATAAGTACACTGTGTGTGCAACTGGCAAAGAGAGCTATTCTTCAAATAAAATAGAGAAGGAAATAGCCAATATTAGAAGACAGAGAAAAAAAGACAATTGCTGCAGCAAAATAAAAGACAGTTGAATTTGGGGCAATCTTAAAATAAATACTACCCCAAGGCCAATTTAAAAATATGAGAGGTAAAAAACTCTGATGATATGGTGAAAACTTGATTTCAATAAATTAAACAATATTTACATTTTTGTTGCATGCTGTGACAAAATTAATCATACTCATTTTTCATTTGTTTTTATTTACTTTCTGATCCACAAATATATTTGTGTAAACTCTAGAATTTGTCTGCATTGTTTTATGCTTGTTTTGATAATCATAATTTTAATAAATAAAATACATTTGCAGTAAAAAAAAAGATTACATTCATCATGGGGAATTGGTACATGTACATAACACATCTTAATTTTTTATATCCTCTTTCCCTCTTCTTCCTTCCCCTCTTCATCTCTTAGTGCTAATTGTATTTAAATAAGAGGAATTTTCTTTTTCTTAAAAATAAATCAAAATAATTAAATATGAAGTCCACTGTGATTTTCCAAATCCACCAGACCATTGCTAACTCACCAAAGTCAGGAAGTAATAATAATTCCCTCTCTTTATAAAATGCCTTTTCTCCCCCAGGAAACTTCAAAGCTCTTTGCTTATGCTGGGCTCTGCAGCTGCCAGGAAAGAAATGTGTCTCCACTTACCTCCAAGGGGATCAGAGCTCATGAGGAACCAGCTAGACCCACAGCCTACAGGCCTTCCCAAGGCCCACTGTTACTCCTATTCTTTGAGAAATGACACCCCAGGCTCTGGGGCCAGGGCAAGAGAATAGAAAAGGTGACATTAGTGCAAAGCTACTCACTTAAGCAAGCATCATAAGATCAGGAATGATGTGAACTTAATGCAATTCCAATCAAAATTCTAAGAGCATGTTTTATAAAATAAAATAAAAAAACAAATCCTAAAATTCATGTTGAGCCAGAAAACAATTTCTGAGCAAAAAGAGTTTTTCCTGTGGTTAGCTGACCTAATTGTGCCACCCCCAGTTCATGACTCCTCCCACACCTAACACTTGTCCTCCTTCATTGTCCTTTGTTCTCAGGAAGTGTCTGCATCCAGTGTACTTTTCTATCAAATCGTGTAAACTAAATGTAACTTCCTCAACCAATGAACTGGTGATAAATGCCTTGTTTCTGTGTCCCAAACTACTCCCTTCCCTTAATCCCATTCACTGCCAGCTCCGGGCTGATTGCTTTGGAGAAATCCCCGATCAGTCTGCTGCCATAATAAAGCTGTACACTTGCCTCCAAATATATATATATATATATATATATCAGGAATGAGCCAGATATGGCTCAATAAACCATCATAGCAGTCATTGGGATGGATAGGAGAGTAAGCATTTGCTATGACTCTCACAAGCTTTAGACAAATACGTGGGCCCAGACTCTGAGACAGATTCTACACTCTACTGTGGTATTATACAAAGCTTTAATTTTATCATTAGCCTCCAGGTTTACTGAGCATCAGATTTATTCAATTAAGTGGCATCAAAGCTGTTCTCCAAATAACATAGACCTTCAGTGGAAAAGGATAAAATTCTTCAGCTAGAAGGACCTTAGATCTCACAGATTCCTCATTCCCATGGCTTGCTGACCCTCAGCACCACTATGAGCATCATCCCGGATAGGGACAGAGTGACTCAGTGGCATCCTTTGTCTGTGTTGATTTGTATCATTTATGATGCTGGATATGTTCTAGAGAAAAGAGGTCCAAGCCTCTAAGTCTCATTTCTGTCATTACTGGGCTTAACATGACCCATGAGAGTCCTATGTATCATTGGTATAAACCACAGAATTGCTGACCACAAGAAAATTGTAGTCAGCATTGATCTTTCTGCTAATTTTGTATATCTATTCTGAAGATTAAACCTTAACCCAATGTTCTGAGGATGAAGAGTTCTCTCCCTTGTTGGGCTTTTCTGAACACTACTAGAATGCACCTAGAGGGTGGGTACATTATATAATCTCAAGGAGAGTATAAAATGATTTCCAGTGCACAGAGAAAAGAGGAAAGAAGACATAGGAAAATTATAGGCAAAACATGTAGACATGGACATGCACAAAGTGCCTGACTTAAAAATATGCCTAAGTAGGCTGTGCTGGCTGGAGGACAGGGAAATGATGGCATGCCTCATGAACTGGATCAGCTCTTGTGTATGTTCAGAAAACATTTTTTTTCCTTTGAGAGGCCCAGGCCCCTCAGTGCTTTGGAAGGCCAGTAATTTTGGAATGGAGTGAATGTTATACCCCATTCATCACTTAAATTTCCCTGCAAAAGTGAGTAGCAACACCCATATTTTGTGAGAACTCCTAGAAGGACAAAGCAACCTCTGGTTGTTTTTAGATCGTTACCATGTTACAAGAAGGAAGAGGTCTCTCCTCTTTCATCGCTACACATTGCTGTGATGGCTGACTACAGAAATTAGTAGTTTTCAAAATATCAGCAAGGTTAATAATTATTGGAAAGAAGCAAAATAGGAAATCAACCTAATAGGCCTGATCCCAGTCCTGATCCCAGTCCTGGCTGGGCTACTCCACCCTTGTATTCCCCACGTAGTGAGGATGGCAACCAACATGATGTAAATTTCTTATCCACTCATTACTTCACACACATCATCTTAGTTAATCCTCTCCAAAGCATCTAAATATTATTAATCCTATTTCATAGATTATAAGACAAATACTCCACAAACTCACAGAAGATCAGGTAGTAAGTTGTGAAGAAGGACACACAACTAAGTTGTTCTAATTTTAAAACCAATGTTTTCTTTATTACACCAAATTGCTTTTCTGTGTCTGATATCAAGACCCCTCTCTGTCTTTCAATAGTGTTAGTTCTAAATTTCTAAAGTGATTCTGATTCTGGACAGAGTTATGATAGTTGAGTCCTAATAGGAACAACTTATCCATAAAAAATCTTATCAGAGAAGAGCAAAATAAAGGAAAGTATAGTAAACTAAATATTGCAGTACAATTCTAATAAAAAATTTTGTAATTTCCTTGTAACATCTTTGATATTTCAAGAAATATGAGATGCAAGATGCTCCGTGAATATCTGAATTATTCTACAACACTATAGATTGTCAACCTACAAGTCAGGAAGTTTTTAAGAATATCTACCCAAAAAGTATATGTATATTTTTAAAAA